GGCAGCTCGCAGAAAAATGGCACGCCAGCCACCGACAAACAAATCTCGATTGACGCCGACTATCCACCGAAAAGTACCAACGAGGCACCTGAGGTTAGAAATACTTTTGTCATAATTATACATCTTGTTCTATTGTTTGTGCTACACACTCTTATACTAGCTGAACGTATTGTATTGCAGACACCATTAGAAAGAGCTCGGAGATTTAAGGTAGAAGGAAATCATTACTTTAAGATAGGAAAATATGATGAGGCAATTGTCCAATACAATAATGCAATTCAAACATGTCCAAATGAGAATACCGAAGATCTTGCTACATTTTACCAGAACAGGGCAGCAGCGTATGATCAACTGGTAACAATATCATCACATTTTTTAAAATTTATGATTTATGAGTAATTTACCATGAAATGTTGTAATAACATTACCTGCTATTTTATTTAAATGTTACTATTACTGTTACCAATTCATATACATCACAGAAAAAATACACTGCTGTAAAAGCAGATTGTACAAAGGCCTTGGAATTGAAACCAAGATATACAAAAGCCTTATTCCGTAGAGCAAGGGTAATGGAACGCTACAATGATTTAGAAGCAGCTCTAGAAGATGTCACAGCTACCTGTATCTTAGAAAATTTTTCCAATCAAATGACATTGGACATGGCAAACAGGGTTTTAAAACAATTAGGTATGTCTATAAAAGAAAATGCAAACCTGTTGGTACAAATATTAATTGTAAGCTTTTCTTTCACAGGTAAACAACATGTTATGGAGCATATGGCAAACAAAAAATATGTTATGCCTAGCAAACGGATAATACAAAATTATATGAACTATTATCATAGTGATCCTGTTTTTACATTGCTCAAAAATAGTGACAATAGTGATTTATCACTGTATGTAGTTCAGTTATTAAAGAATTATTATTAGTTATCATTATTATTGCATGCATAATCTCTGTCCAATGTTTAGGGGTTTTGCAAAGATTTTGGAACATATGAAAAATGAGCAATATGATGATATAATACCACTATGTACTGAAGCACTCGAAAATAGTGAATCAGATATATTACCACACAAAACAGAAGTGTTACTTTTAAGGGCCACATTTTATCTGTTGCTATTACGATTCGAAAGCGCCAGAGAAGATTTTGTTGCTATTATAGAAGACGAGAACGTTCCAAAAAATATAAAAGTGAATGCCTTAGTAAAACGAGCTACTTTGTACATGCATTTAGAAGATCTAGACAAATGTTTTGCAGATTTTGAATCAGCCATAAAACTTGATTCTGACTATGGTGATATTTATTTGCATAAAGCACAGGTATTATTGATTTTCGCTAAGTCTATAACAAATCTGTTTTCTAAAGACAAGAAATTTTTATAAATCATCACGTGGTTACAGGCAAATTTAATTATGGAAAATATAGTTGAAGCTAAAGAAGACTACGAGAAAGTTGTGGNATGCATTACAGAAAAATACACTGCTGTAAAAGCAGATTGTGTAAAGGCCTTGGATTTGAAACCAAGATGTACGTCATATACCAAGATATATGTCACAGCTACCTGTATTTTACAACATTTTCCCAATTAAATGACATTGGACATGGCAAACAGGGTTTTAAAACAATTAGGTATGTCTATAAAAGAAAATGCAAACCTGTTGGTACAAATATTAATTGTAAGCTTTTCTTTCACAGGTAAACAACATGTTATGGAGCATATGGCAAACAAAAAATATGTTATGCCTAGCAAACGGATAATACAAAATTATATGAACTATTATCATAGTGATCCTGTTTTTACATTGCTCAAAAATAGTGACAATAGTGATTTATCACTGTATGTAGTTCAGTTATTAAAGAATTATTATTAGTTATCATTATTATTGCATGCATAATCTCTGTCCAATGTTTAGGGGTTTTGCAAAGATTTTGGAACATATGAAAAATGAGCAATATGATGATATAATACCACTATGTACTGAAGCACTCGAAAATAGTGAATCAGATATATTACCACACAAAACAGAAGTGTTACTTTTAAGGGCCACATTTTATCTGTTGCTATTACGATTCGAAAGCGCCAGAGAAGATTTTGTTGCTATTATAGAAGACGAGAACGTTCCAAAAAATATAAAAGTGAATGCCTTAGTAAAACGAGCTACTTTGTACATGCATTTAGAAGATCTAGACAAATGTTTTGAGGATTTTGAATCAGCCATAAAACTTGATCCTGACTATGGTGATATTTATTTGCATAAAGCACAGGTATTATTGATTTTCGCTAAGTCTATAACAAATCTGTTTTCTAAAGACAAGAAATTTTTATAAATCATCACGTGGTTACAGGCAAATTTAATTATGGAAAATATAGTTGAAGCTAAAGAAGACTACGAGAAAGTTGTGGGGCTCTATCCCGATTTTCCAATAGCATTTGTGCATAAATGTATTGTGGACTATCACTACGGTATACTTACCAGAGATGGAGAAATGTCAGAAGAAGCCTTAAAAACTTTCGAGATTGCTATCGAAAAATTCCCAGATTTTGCCGAATGTTATTTCTTATACGCTCAGGTATAAATTCATCTCTTATTGCAGAGTATTTAAACATTGCAGTAACTGTAAATGTAATGTACTATTCTTCCACGAATGTAGTTATTGTCAGAAATGCAAAACTATCAAAAAGCAGATTTATATTTAGATAAAGCACTCGAGAAAGATCCAGACAATGCTTCAGCGTATGTACGAAAAGGTTTGTTACAATTAAAGTGGAATGGAGATGTTAGTAAGGCCATTGAATATATTAAACAAGCATTGGAATTAGATAATAAATGTGAACTTGCGTATGAGACTCTAGCAACGATTGAAGCTCAAAGGTGGGTTGATATCATAATGTAGAGTGTATATGTTAATCGTGAATTAATACATTCTTCTATTATTTATCTATAAAATTTTGATTGTTTCATAGAGGAAATCTGGAAACATCACTCAAATTAATCGATGAAGCTGTGGAACTGGCTCGTACAACCAAAGAGCTCACAAACATTTTCAATCTACGAGATTCCGTGAAAACGCAACTCGCGCTAAAAGATAAACTAGGCTTAGATCTAATAATGAATACACTGTTAAACGTTTCATAAGCTTTCACAGTGTCGTTAGTATTGAATCTGAAAACTCTAAATAAGTGAAAATATACATGGTGACCAGACCTAAAGATTAAAACTTTACCATGTATGATAAGAGCCACAAATGTAATTTTATGAAAAATTGGAAAGACATGTTGTAATGTTATAGAAATTGTTCTCACAGTTACAGACATACGAGTATGTATTTATCGCTTAATTGATACATCATATTACCTCTTCTGGAGGAGGCAATTGTGGCACACATTACCGACTGATTATTGCCGTTAATCAAGCATTTCAATAATTTCCGTAGGTAAATTCGTTTCAATCCAATTCCAAAATATTCCATTTTACGTAATCTTTTTTGTTATTGCTCGCAAATATCACAATTGTAAAATTTCTGTGTACATTATCCGTTATTTGTCTGTGTTGTGAACTCACGTGTTAAATACATTTAAATAATATAAGTATGCTTACAATTCTTTGCAATATTTAGGAACGTATGCACATTATGTAAGTTTTATGCGTATATAACGCTAATACCAAGAGAAAGAGTTTTTAAAACAACTTCAGTAATTTACTTATAATTTGTAATAGTTTATTGATAATTGTAACTGTGAGTCTGATATTGTATTTTATAAAACTATGTAAAGTTCATGCAAGCGTATACATACATACATACACGTATTTATATACATATAAACATCAATGTTATTATTGTATTATTTTTTAAATGATATAAATTTTATTTTCTTATATTACAATTTTATTTCCGCTATACTACGGTATTTATTATTAATGGCCAACTTTACTTAAAAACTGAAAAGGAACATATTTACTTTTCCTGAGATAAAGTACAGTAATATTTACATTTGTTTATGCTCATTTATGAAACGTATAATTATATAAATGACAGATACAAACCCTGAAAGTACATGTACATTTAAAACTTCTTGTACAAGAGTAAATCCGTACAAAAACATCATTTCATTGAGAAATGATAATGTAATTATACAGAATGCTGTATATGCCTTGATTTCTAACATGTTCTTCTTCACACGTCGTAGAAGATCGAAGCGAGAGGATATCTTATAACAAATGCTAATAAACTACTAAAAACCTGCAATATTAATGATCTTTTAATAATATACAATTTATAAGGTTGTCAAAATTGAGCCTTACCTGAATTAATAGTAAAATCATTGTAAGAGTAGACTCCTTAAGTGGGCCAACTTTGATTAATACAAAGTTGATTAAAGTGAAGTTGTTACAAGTAACAATAGCTTTTTTATCTTCTTTCCATTTCACTAAATGTAGTTTCGTAAATATCCACATTACGATTTTACCTAAAGATTAATTTTTTAATTACAGTAAATACAAAATACATTAAAATAATTCTCTTTTCATACCAATAAAACCAATCTCATTTTTGTTGAATACAGTATTGCTAGGCTCCAACTTATCTATCTCTTTATTGTATCTGTGAACAAATGTAAAGCTGTAAAGAATCTTTCTTTTCTTTATTAATGAAGAAGCTATTGATTGAAAAACATACTTTGGTAATCTATGTCTAGGGCACGGTATAAAATGGAACAATTGTGGCACACTGTACAGAAAATTAATAATTTGTGGAATGAAAAACAACAAAGTTGTTTTGCTGAAGTGCCCAATAATGCCGACAACGGCAAACGTCATTCCTGACAAGTAACAAAAAGTGTCCCCTACGAATACTTCTGCCGGGCACCTTAAAGAAAGACAAACGTGATTTCACGTTATTGCAAATATTTTAGAATCTATACCTGTGTAAAGTCTTTAGCCTACTTCGAACATAATGATCCTTAATAAAAATGACTAATCTTATCACACTAAAATTGTAATTGATTCAATTGCTTGCAACATAGATAATTAGACAGATGAGAAATCATTTAAAATAACAATAATAATAAATAAAACGAAGCCTATCACGTGGCCCTTTTGATACCACTTTGTTCGAAACGCGTTTCGATAACATTTTATTCGAAATGTTTTTTTAGTATAATGGGTATGAGTTATGAGTCACGACGATTCGAGGTGGTCACGTCAAGTGACTCACCCTGTAGATGCTCATAATGAATGAGTTAGCGAGGTTTTCAGACGCATGCGCTTTGAGAGATGTCGCGATCGCGCTTGTCGACGGGATTCGACGAAAGAAGTTGCGTGGGAGAGCATTCGGGCGTGGTTTTTCAACTGGTCGCGCTCCCGTTGGAAGGAGTAGGTACGACAAGGTAGATTTGAGTAGAACGGCGGGACCTCTTCAAACGAGAGAATCACCGCCCTGAACTGCGAAAATTATGTCGTTCAAATCGCACCGACGTAAACCGAGGGGCAGCTCGCAGAAAAATGGCACGCCAGCCACCGACAAACAAATCTCGATTGACGCCGACTATCCACCGAAAAGTACCAACGAGGCACCTGAGGTTAGAAATACTTTTGTCATAATTATACATCTTGTTCTATTGTTTGTGCTACACACTCTTATACTAGCTGAACGTATTGTATTGCAGACACCATTAGAAAGAGCTCGGAGATTTAAGGTAGAAGGAAATCATTACTTTAAGATAGGAAAATATGATGAGGCAATTGTCCAATACAATAATGCAATTCAAACATGTCCAAATGAGAATACCGAAGATCTTGCTACATTTTACCAGAACAGGGCAGCAGCGTATGATCAACTGGTAACAATATCATCACATTTTTTAAAATTTATGATTTATGAGTAATTTACCATGAAATATTGTAATAACATTACCTGTTATTTTATTTAAATTGCTTCTATGTGTTTTCATATGTCCAAGTCTGTTACCAATTCATATGCATTACAGAAAAATACACTGCTGTAAAAGCAGATTGTGTAAAGGCCTTGGATTTGAAACCAAGATGTACGTCATATACCAAGATATATGTCACAGCTACCTGTATTTTACAACATTTTCCCAATTAAATGACATTGGACATGGCAAACAGGGTTTTAAAACAATTAGGTATGTCTATAAAAGAAAATGCAAACCTGTTGGTACAAATATTAATTGTAAGCTTTTCTTTCACAGGTAAACAACATGCTATGGAACATATGGCAAACAAAAAATATGTTATGCCTAGCAAACGGATAATACAAAATTATAGGAACTATTATCATAGTGATCCTGTTTTTACATTGCTCAAAAATAGTGACAATAATGATATATCACTGTATGTAGTTCAGTTATTAAAGAATTATTATTAGTTATCATTATTATTGCATGCATAATCTCTGTCCAATGTTTAGGGGTTTTGCAAAGATTTTGGAACATATGAAAAATGAGCAATATGATGATATAATACCACTATGTACTGAAGCACTCGAAAATAGTGAATCAGATATATTACCACACAAAACAGAAGTGTTACTTTTAAGGGCCACATTTTATCTGTTGCTATTACGATTCGAAAGCGCCAGAGAAGATTTTGTTGCTATTATAGAAGACGAGAACGTTCCAAAAAATATAAAAGTGAATGCCTTAGTAAAACGAGCTACTTTGTACATGCATTTAGAAGATCTAGACAAATGTTTTGCAGATTTTGAATCAGCCATAAAACTTGATTCTGACTATGGTGATATTTATTTGCATAAAGCACAGGTATTATTGATTTTCGCTAAGTCTATAACAAATCTGTTTTCTAAAGACAAGAAATTTATATAAATCATCACGTGGTTACAGGCAAATTTAATTATGGAAAAAATAGTTGAAGCTAAAGAAGACTACGAGAAAGTTGTGGAGCTCAATCCCGATTTTCCAATAGCGTTTGTGCATAAATGTATTGTGGACTATCACTACGGTATACTTACGAGAGATGGAGAAATGTCAGAAAAAGCCTTAAAAACTTTCGAGATTGCTATTGAAAAATTCCCAGATTTTGCCGATTATTATTTCTCATACGCTAAGGTATAAATTCATCTCTTATTGCAGAGTATTTAAACATTGCAGTAACTGTAAATGTAATATACTATTCTTCCACAAATGTAGTTATTGTCAGAAATGCAAAACTATCAAAAAGCAGATTTATATTTAGATAAAGCACTCGAGAAAGATCCAAACAATGCTTCAGCGTATGTACGAAAAAGTTTATTACAATTAAAGTGGAATGGAGATTTTAGTAAGGCTTTGAATATATTAAACAAGCATTGGAATTAGATAATAAATGTGAACTTGCGTATGAGACTCTAGCAACGATTGAAGCTCAAAGGTGGGTTGATATCGTAATGTACAGTGTGTATGTTAATCGTGAATTAATACATTCTTCTATTATTTATCTATAAAATTTTGATTGTTTCATAGAGGAAATCTGAAAACAGCGCTTAAATTAATCGATGAAGTTGTGGAACTGGCTCGTACAACCAAGGAGCTCACAAACATTTTCAATCTACGAGATTCCGTGAAAACGCAACTCGCGCTAAAAGATAAACTAGGCTTAGATCTAATAATGAATACATTGTTAAACGTTTCATAAGCTTTCACAGTGTCGTTAGTATTGAATCTGAAAACTTTAAATAAGTGAAAATATACATGGTGACCAGACCTAAAGATTAAAGCTTTACCATGTATGATAAGAGCCACAAATGTAATTTTATGAAAAATTGGAAAGACATGTTGTAATGTTATAGAAATTGTTCTCACAGTTACAGACGTACGAGTATGTATTTATCGCTTAATTGATACATCATATTACCTCTTCTGGAGGAGGCAATTGTGGCACACATTACCGACTGATTATTGCCGTTAATCAAGCATTTCAACAATTTCCGTAGGTAAATTCGTTTCAATCCAATTCCAAAATATTCCATTTTACGTAATCTTTTTTGTTATTGCTCGCAAATATCACAATTGTAAAATTTCTGTGTACATTATCCGTTATTTGTCTGTGTTGTGAACTCNTTCCGTAGGTAAATTCGTTTCAATCCAATTCCAAAATATTCCATTTTACGTAATCTTTTTTGTTATTGCTCGCAAATATCACAATTGTAAAATTTCTGTGTACATTATCCGTTATTTGTCTGTGTTGTGAACTCACGTGTTAAATACATTTAAATAATATAAGTATGCTTACAATTCTTTGCAATATTTAGGAACGTATGCACATTATGTAAGTTTTATGCGTATATAACGCTAATACCAAGAGAAAGAGTTTTTAAAACAACTTCAGTAATTTACTTATAATTTGTAATAGTTTATTGATAATTGTAACTGTGAGTCTGATATTGTATTTTATAAAACTATGTAAAGTTCATGCAAGCGTATACATACATACATACACGTATTTATATACATATAAACATCAATGTTATTATTGTATTATTTTTTAAATGATATAAATTTTATTTTCTTATATTACAATTTTATTTCCGCTATACTACGGTATTTATTATTAATGGCCAACTTTACTTAAAAACTGAAAAGGAACATATTTACTTTTCCTGAGATAAAGTACAGTAATATTTACATTTGTTTATGCTCATTTATGAAACGTATAATTATATAAATGACAGATACAAACCCTGAAAGTACATGTACATTTAAAACTTCTTGTACAAGAGTAAATCCGTACAAAAACATCATTTCATTGAGAAATGATAATGTAATTATACAGAATGCTGTATATGCCTTGATTTCTAACATGTTCTTCTTCACACGTCGTAGAAGATCGAAGCGAGAGGATATCTTATAACAAATGCTAATAAACTACTAAAAACCTGCAATATTAATGATCTTTTAATAATATACAATTTATAAGGTTGTCAAAATTGAGCCTTACCTGAATTAATAGTAAAATCATTGTAAGAGTAGACTCCTTAAGTGGGCCAACTTTGATTAATACAAAGTTGATTAAAGTGAAGTTGTTACAAGTAACAATAGCTTTTTTATCTTCTTTCCATTTCACTAAATGTAGTTTCGTAAATATCCACATTACGATTTTACCTAAAGATTAATTTTTTAATTACAGTAAATACAAAATACATTAAAATAATTCTCTTTTCATACCAATAAAACCAATCTCATTTTTGTTGAATACAGTATTGCTAGGCTCCAACTTATCTATCTCTTTATTGTATCTGTGAACAAATGTAAAGCTGTAAAGAATCTTTCTTTTCTTTATTAATGAAGAAGCTATTGATTGAAAAACATACTTTGGTAATCTATGTCTAGGGCACGGTATAAAATGGAACAATTGTGGCACACTGTACAGAAAATTAATAATTTGTGGAATGAAAAACAACAAAGTTGTTTTGCTGAAGTGCCCAATAATGCCGACAACGGCAAACGTCATTCCTGACAAGTAACAAAAAGTGTCCCCTACGAATACTTCTGCCGGGCACCTTAAAGAAAGACAAACGTGATTTCACGTTATTGCAAATATTTTAGAATCTATACCTGTGTAAAGTCTTTAGCCTACTTCGAACATAATGATCCTTAATAAAAATGACTAATCTTATCACACTAAAATTGTAATTGATTCAATTGCTTGCAACATAGATAATTAGACAGATGAGAAATCATTTAAAATAACAATAATAATAAATAAAACGAAGCCTATCACGTGGCCCTTTTGATACCACTTTGTTCGAAACGCGTTTCGATAACATTTTATTCGAAATGTTTTTTTAGTATAATGGGTATGAGTTATGAGTCACGACGATTCGAGGTGGTCACGTCAAGTGACTCACCCTGTAGATGCTCATAATGAATGAGTTAGCGAGGTTTTCAGACGCATGCGCTTTGAGAGATGTCGCGATCGCGCTTGTCGACGGGATTCGACGAAAGAAGTTGCGTGGGAGAGCATTCGGGCGTGGTTTTTCAACTGGTCGCGCTCCCGTTGGAAGGAGTAGGTACGACAAGGTAGATTTGAGTAGAACGGCGGGACCTCTTCAAACGAGAGAATCACCGCCCTGAACTGCGAAAATTATGTCGTTCAAATCGCACCGACGTAAACCGAGGGGCAGCTCGCAGAAAAATGGCACGCCAGCCACCGACAAACAAATCTCGATTGACGCCGACTATCCACCGAAAAGTACCAACGAGGCACCTGAGGTTAGAAATACTTTTGTCATAATTATACATCTTGTTCTATTGTTTGTGCTACACACTCTTATACTAGCTGAACGTATTGTATTGCAGACACCATTAGAAAGAGCTCGGAGATTTAAGGTAGAAGGAAATCATTACTTTAAGATAGGAAAATATGATGAGGCAATTGTCCAATACAATAATGCAATTCAAACATGTCCAAATGAGAATACCGAAGATCTTGCTACATTTTACCAGAACAGGGCAGCAGCGTATGATCAACTGGTAACAATATCATCACATTTTTTAAAATTTATGATTTATGAGTAATTTACCATGAAATATTGTAATAACATTACCTGTTATTTTATTTAAATTGCTTCTATGTGTTTTCATATGTCCAAGTCTGTTACCAATTCATATGCATTACAGAAAAATACACTGCTGTAAAAGCAGATTGTGTAAAGGCCTTGGATTTGAAACCAAGATGTACGTCATATACCAAGATATATGTCACAGCTACCTGTATTTTACAACATTTTCCCAATTAAATGACATTGGACATGGCAAACAGGGTTTTAAAACAATTAGGTATGTCTATAAAAGAAAATGCAAACCTGTTGGTACAAATATTAATTGTAAGCTTTTCTTTCACAGGTAAACAACATGCTATGGAACATATGGCAAACAAAAAATATGTTATGCCTAGCAAACGGATAATACAAAATTATAGGAACTATTATCATAGTGATCCTGTTTTTACATTGCTCAAAAATAGTGACAATAATGATATATCACTGTATGTAGTTCAGTTATTAAAGAATTATTATTAGTTATCATTATTATTGCATGCATAATCTCTGTCCAATGTTTAGGGGTTTTGCAAAGATTTTGGAACATATGAAAAATGAGCAATATGATGATATAATACCACTATGTACTGAAGCACTCGAAAATAGTGAATCAGATATATTACCACACAAAACAGAAGTGTTACTTTTAAGGGCCACATTTTATCTGTTGCTATTACGATTCGAAAGCGCCAGAGAAGATTTTGTTGCTATTATAGAAGACGAGAACGTTCCAAAAAATATAAAAGTGAATGCCTTAGTAAAACGAGCTACTTTGTACATGCATTTAGAAGATCTAGACAAATGTTTTGCAGATTTTGAATCAGCCATAAAACTTGATTCTGACTATGGTGATATTTATTTGCATAAAGCACAGGTATTATTGATTTTCGCTAAGTCTATAACAAATCTGTTTTCTAAAGACAAGAAATTTATATAAATCATCACGTGGTTACAGGCAAATTTAATTATGGAAAAAATAGTTGAAGCTAAAGAAGACTACGAGAAAGTTGTGGAGCTCAATCCCGATTTTCCAATAGCGTTTGTGCATAAATGTATTGTGGACTATCACTACGGTATACTTACGAGAGATGGAGAAATGTCAGAAAAAGCCTTAAAAACTTTCGAGATTGCTATTGAAAAATTCCCAGATTTTGCCGATTATTATTTCTCATACGCTAAGGTATAAATTCATCTCTTATTGCAGAGTATTTAAACATTGCAGTAACTGTAAATGTAATATACTATTCTTCCACAAATGTAGTTATTGTCAGAAATGCAAAACTATCAAAAAGCAGATTTATATTTAGATAAAGCACTCGAGAAAGATCCAGACAATGCTTCAGCGTATGTACGAAAAGGTTTGTTACAATTAAAGTGGAATGGAGATGTTAGTAAGGCCATTGAATATATTAAACAAGCATTGGAATTAGATAATAAATGTGAACTTGCGTATGAGACTCTAGCAACGATTGAAGCTCAAAGGTGGGTTGATATCGTAATGTACAGTGTGTATGTTAATCGTGAATTAATACATTCTTCTATTATTTATCTATAAAATTTTGATTGTTTCATAGAGGAAATCTGAAAACAGCGCTTAAATTAATCGATGAAGTTGTGGAACTGGCTCGTACAACCAAGGAGCTCACAAACATTTTCAATCTACGAGATTCCGTGAAAACGCAACTCGCGCTAAAAGATAAACTAGGCTTAGATCTAATAATGAATACATTGTTAAACGTTTCATAAGCTTTCACAGTGTCGTTAGTATTGAATCTGAAAACTTTAAATAAGTGAAAATATACATGGTGACCAGACCTAAAGATTAAAGCTTTACCATGTATGATAAGAGCCACAAATGTAATTTTATGAAAAATTGGAAAGACATGTTGTAATGTTATAGAAATTGTTCTCACAGTTACAGACGTACGAGTATGTATTTATCGCTTAATTGATACATCATATTACCTCTTCTGGAGGAGGCAATTGTGGCACACATTACCGACTGATTATTGCCGTTAATCAAGCATTTCAACAATTTCCGTAGGTAAATTCGTTTCAATCCAATTCCAAAATATTCCATTTTACGTAATCTTTTTTGTTATTGCTCGCAAATATCACAATTGTAAAATTTCTGTGTACATTATCCGTTATTTGTCTGTGTTGTGAACTCTCGTGTTAAATATATTTAAATAATATAAGGATGCTTAGAATTCCTTGCAATATTTAGGAACGTATGCACATTATGTAAGTTTTATGCTTATATAACGCTAATGCCAACAGAAAGAGTTTTTAAAACAACTTCAGTAATTTACTTATAATTTGTAATAGTTTATTGATAATTGTAACTGTGAGTCTGATATTGTATTTTATAAAACTATGTAAAGTTCATGCAAGCGTATACATACATACATACACGTATTTATATACATATAAACATCAATGTTATTATTGTATTATTTATTAAATAATATAAATTTTATTTTCTTATATTACAATTTTATTTCCGCTATACTACGGTATTTATTACTATTGGCCAACATTACTTAAAAACTGAAAAGGAACATATTCACTTTTCCTGAGAAAAAGTACAGTAATATTTACATTTGTTTATGCTCATTTATGAAACGTATAATTATATAAATGACAGATACAAACCCTGAAAGTACATGTACATTTAAAACTTCTTGTACAAGAGTAAATCCGTACAAAAACATCATTTCATTGAGAAATGATAATGTAATTATACAGAATGCTGTATATGCCTTGATTTCTAACATGTTCTTCTTCACACGTCGTAGAAGATCGAAGCGAGAGGATATCTTATAACAAATGCTAATAAACTACTAAAAACCTGCAATATTAATGATCTTTTAATAATATACAATTTATAAGGTTGTCAAAATTGAGCCTTACCTGAATTAATAGTAAAATCATTGTAAGAGTAGACTCCTTAAGTGGGCCAACTTTGATTAATACAAAGTTGATTAAAGTGAAGTTGTTACAAGTAACAATAGCTTTTTTATCTTCTTTCCATTTCACTAAATGTAGTTTCGTAAATATCCACATTACGATTTTACCTAAAGATTAATTTTTTAATTACAGTAAATACAAAATACATTAAAATAATTCTCTTTTCATACCAATAAAACCAATCTCATTTTTGTTGAATACAGTATTGCTAGGCTCCAACTTATCTATCTCTTTATTGTATCTGTGAACAAATGTAAAGCTGTAAAGAATCTTTCTTTTCTTTATTAATGAAGAAGCTATTGATTGAAAAACATACTTTGGTAATCTATGTCTAGGGCACGGTATAAAATGGAACAATTGTGGCACACTGTACAGAAAATTAATAATTTGTGGAATGAAAAACAACAAAGTTGTTTTGCTGAAGTGCCCAATAATGCCGACAACGGCAAACGTCATTCCTGACAAGTAACAAAAAGTGTCCCCTACGAATACTTCTGCCGGGCACCTTAAAGAAAGACAAACGTGATTTCACGTTATTGCAAATATTTTAGAATCTATACCTGTGTAAAGTCTTTAGCCTACTTCGAACATAATGATCCTTAATAAAAATGACTAATCTTATCACACTAAAATTGTAATTGATTCAATTGCTTGCAACATAGATAATTAGACAGATGAGAAATCATTTAAAATAACAATAATAATAAATAAAACGAAGCCTATCACGTGGCCCTTTTGATACCACTTTGTTCGAAACGCGTTTCGATAACATTTTATTCGAAATGTTTTTTTAGTATAATGGGTATGAGTTATGAGTCACGACGATTCGAGGTGGTCACGTCAAGTGACTCACCCTGTAGATGCTCATAATGAATGAGTTAGCGAGGTTTTCAGACGCATGCGCTTTGAGAGATGTCGCGATCGCGCTTGTCGACGGGATTCGACGAAAGAAGTTGCGTGGGAGAGCATTCGGGCGTGGTTTTTCATCTGGTCGCGCTCCCGTTGGAAGGAGTAGGTACGACAAGGTAGATTTGAGTAGAACGGCGGGACCTCTTCAAACGAGAGAATCACCGCCCTGAACTGCGAAAATTATGTCGTTCAAATCGCACCGACGTAAACCGAGGGGCAGCTCGCAGAAAAATGGCACGCCAGCCACCGACAAACAAATCTCGATTGACGCCGACTATCCACCGAAAAGTACCAACGAGGCACCTGAGGTTAGAAATACTTTTGTCATAATTATACATCTTGTTCTATTGTTTGTGCTACACACTCTTATACTAGCTGAACGTATTGTATTGCAGACACCATTAGAAAGAGCTCGGAGATTTAAGGTAGAAGGAAATCATTACTTTAAGATAGGAAAATATGATGAGGCAATTGTCCAATACAATAATGCAATTCAAACATGTCCAAATGAGAATACCGAAGATCTTGCTACATTTTACCAGAACAGGGCAGCAGCGTATGATCAACTGGTAACAATATCATCACATTTTTTAAAATTTATGATTTATGAGTAATTTACCATGAAATATTGTAATAACATTACCTGTTATTTTATTTAAATTGCTTCTATGTGTTTTCATATGTCCAAGTCTGTTACCAATTCATATGCATTACAGAAAAATACACTGCTGTAAAAGCAGATTGTGTAAAGGCCTTGGATTTGAAACCAAGATGTACGTCATATACCAAGATATATGTCACAGCTACCTGTATTTTACAACATTTTCCCAATTAAATGACATTGGACATGGCAAACAGGGTTTTAAAACAATTAGGTATGTCTATAAAAGAAAATGCAAACCTGTTGGTACAAATATTAATTGTAAGCTTTTCTTTCACAGGTAAACAACATGCTATGGAACATATGGCAAACAAAAAATATGTTATGCCTAGCAAACGGATAATACAAAATTATAGGAACTATTATCATAGTGATCCTGTTTTTACATTGCTCAAAAATAGTGACAATAATGATATATCACTGTATGTAGTTCAGTTATTAAAGAATTATTATTAGTTATCATTATTATTGCATGCATAATCTCTGTCCAATGTTTAGGGGTTTTGCAAAGATTTTGGAACATATGAAAAATGAGCAATATGATGATATAATACCACTATGTACTGAAGCACTCGAAAATAGTGAATCAGATATATTACCACACAAAACAGAAGTGTTACTTTTAAGGGCCACATTTTATCTGTTGCTATTACGATTCGAAAGCGCCAGAGAAGATTTTGTTGCTATTATAGAAGACGAGAACGTTCCAAAAAATATAAAAGTGAATGCCTTAGTAAAACGAGCTACTTTGTACATGCATTTAGAAGATCTAGACAAATGTTTTGCAGATTTTGAATCAGCCATAAAACTTGATTCTGACTATGGTGATATTTATTTGCATAAAGCACAGGTATTATTGATTTTCGCTAAGTCTATAACAAATCTGTTTTCTAAAGACAAGAAATTTATATAAATCATCACGTGGTTACAGGCAAATTTAATTATGGAAAAAATAGTTGAAGCTAAAGAAGACTACGAGAAAGTTGTGGAGCTCAATCCCGATTTTCCAATAGCGTTTGTGCATAAATGTATTGTGGACTATCACTACGGTATACTTACGAGAGATGGAGAAATGTCAGAAAAAGCCTTAAAAACTTTCGAGATTGCTATTGAAAAATTCCCAGATTTTGCCGATTATTATTTCTCATACGCTAAGGTATAAATTCATCTCTTATTGCAGAGTATTTAAACATTGCAGTAACTGTAAATGTAATATACTATTCTTCCACAAATGTAGTTATTGTCAGAAATGCAAAACTATCAAAAAGCAGATTTATATTTAGATAAAGCACTCGAGAAAGATCCAGACAATGCTTCAGCGTATGTACGAAAAGGTTTGTTACAATTAAAGTGGAATGGAGATGTTAGTAAGGCCATTGAATATATTAAACAAGCATTGGAATTAGATAATAAATGTGAACTTGCGTATGAGACTCTAGCAACGATTGAAGCTCAAAGGTGGGTTGATATCGTAATGTACAGTGTGTATGTTAATCGTGAATTAATACATTCTTCTATTATTTATCTATAAAATTTTGATTGTTTCATAGAGGAAATCTGAAAACAGCGCTTAAATTAATCGATGAAGTTGTGGAACTGGCTCGTACAACCAAGGAGCTCACAAACATTTTCAATCTACGAGATTCCGTGAAAACGCAACTCGCGCTAAAAGATAAACTAGGCTTAGATCTAATAATGAATACATTGTTAAACGTTTCATAAGCTTTCACAGTGTCGTTAGTATTGAATCTGAAAACTTTAAATAAGTGAAAATATACATGGTGACCAGACCTAAAGATTAAAGCTTTACCATGTATGATAAGAGCCACAAATGTAATTTTATGAAAAATTGGAAAGACATGTTGTAATGTTATAGAAATTGTTCTCACAGTTACAGACGTACGAGTATGTATTTATCGCTTAATTGATACATCATATTACCTCTTCTGGAGGAGGCAATTGTGGCACACATTACCGACTGATTATTGCCGTTAATCAAGCATTTCAACAATTTCCGTAGGTAAATTCGTTTCAATCCAATTCCAAAATATTCCATTTTACGTAATCTTTTTTGTTATTGCTCGCAAATATCACAATTGTAAAATTTCTGTGTACATTATCCGTTATTTGTCTGTGTTGTGAACTCTCGTGTTAAATATATTTAAATAATATAAGGATGCTTAGAATTCCTTGCAATATTTAGGAACGTATGCACATTATGTAAGTTTTATGCTTATATAACGCTAATGCCAACAGAAAGAGTTTTTAAAACAACTTCAGTAATTTACTTATAATTTGTAATAGTTTATTGATAATTGTAACTGTGAGTCTGATATTGTATTTTATAAAACTATGTAAAGTTCATGCAAGCGTATACATACATACATACACGTATTTATATACATATAAACATCAATGTTATTATTGTATTATTTATTAAATAATATAAATTTTATTTTCTTATATTACAATTTTATTTCCGCTATACTACGGTATTTATTACTATTGGCCAACATTACTTAAAAACTGAAAAGGAACATATTCACTTTTCCTGAGAAAAAGTACAGTAATATTTACATTTGTTTATGCTCATTTATGAAACGTATAATTATATAAATGACAGATACAAACCCTGAAAGTACATGTACATTTAAAACTTCTTGTACAAGAGTAAATCCGTACAAAAACATCATTTCATTGAGAAATGATAATGTAATTATACAGAATGCTGTATATGCCTTGATTTCTAACATGTTCTTCTTCACACGTCGTAGAAGATCGAAGCGAGAGGATATCTTATAACAAATGCTAATAAACTACTAAAAACCTGCAATATTAATGATCTTTTAATAATATACAATTTATAAGGTTGTCAAAATTGAGCCTTACCTGAATTAATAGTAAAATCATTGTAAGAGTAGACTCCTTAAGTGGGCCAACTTTGATTAATACAAAGTTGATTAAAGTGAAGTTGTTACAAGTAACAATAGCTTTTTTATCTTCTTTCCATTTCACTAAATGTAGTTTCGTAAATATCCACATTACGATTTTACCTAAAGATTAATTTTTTAATTACAGTAAATACAAAATACATTAAAATAATTCTCTTTTCATACCAATAAAACCAATCTCATTTTTGTTGAATACAGTATTGCTAGGCTCCAACTTATCTATCTCTTTATTGTATCTGTGAACAAATGTAAAGCTGTAAAGAATCTTTCTTTTCTTTATTAATGAAGAAGCTATTGATTGAAAAACATACTTTGGTAATCTATGTCTAGGGCACGGTATAAAATGGAACAATTGTGGCACACTGTACAGAAAATTAATAATTTGTGGAATGAAAAACAACAAAGTTGTTTTGCTGAAGTGCCCAATAATGCCGACAACGGCAAACGTCATTCCTGACAAGTAACAAAAAGTGTCCCCTACGAATACTTCTGCCGGGCACCTTAAAGAAAGACAAACGTGATTTCACGTTATTGCAAATATTTTAGAATCTATACCTGTGTAAAGTCTTTAGCCTACTTCGAACATAATGATCCTTAATAAAAATGACTAATCTTATCACACTAAAATTGTAATTGATTCAATTGCTTGCAACATAGATAATTAGACAGATGAGAAATCATTTAAAATAACAATAATAATAAATAAAACGAAGCCTATCACGTGGCCCTTTTGATACCACTTTGTTCGAAACGCGTTTCGATAACATTTTATTCGAAATGTTTTTTTAGTATAATGGGTATGAGTTATGAGTCACGACGATTCGAGGTGGTCACGTCAAGTGACTCACCCTGTAGATGCTCATAATGAATGAGTTAGCGAGGTTTTCAGACGCATGCGCTTTGAGAGATGTCGCGATCGCGCTTGTCGACGGGATTCGACGAAAGAAGTTGCGTGGGAGAGCATTCGGGCGTGGTTTTTCATCTGGTCGCGCTCCCGTTGGAAGGAGTAGGTACGACAAGGTAGATTTGAGTAGAACGGCGGGACCTCTTCAAACGAGAGAATCACCGCCCTGAACTGCGAAAATTATGTCGTTCAAATCGCACCGACGTAAACCGAGGGGCAGCTCGCAGAAAAATGGCACGCCAGCCACCGACAAACAAATCTCGATTGACGCCGACTATCCACCGAAAAGTACCAACGAGGCACCTGAGGTTAGAAATACTTTTGTCATAATTATACATCTTGTTCTATTGTTTGTGCTACACACTCTTATACTAGCTGAACGTATTGTATTGCAGACACCATTAGAAAGAGCTCGGAGATTTAAGGTAGAAGGAAATCATTACTTTAAGATAGGAAAATATGATGAGGCAATTGTCCAATACAATAATGCAATTCAAACATGTCCAAATGAGAATACCGAAGATCTTGCTACATTTTACCAGAANTCGTGTTAAATATATTTAAATAATATAAGGATGCTTAGAATTCCTTGCAATATTTAGGAACGTATGCACATTATGTAAGTTTTATGCTTATATAACGCTAATGCCAACAGAAAGAGTTTTTAAAACAACTTCAGTAATTTACTTATAATTTGTAATNATTGTAATAACATTACCTGTTATTTTATTTAAATTGCTTCTATGTGTTTTCATATGTCCAAGTCTGTTACCAATTCATATGCATTACAGAAAAATACACTGCTGTAAAAGCAGATTGTGTAAAGGCCTTGGATTTGAAACCAAGATGTACGTCATATACCAAGATATATGTCACAGCTACCTGTATTTTACAACATTTTCCCAATTAAATGACATTGGACATGGCAAACAGGGTTTTAAAACAATTAGGTATGTNTAGTTTATTGATAATTGTAACTGTGAGTCTGATATTGTATTTTATAAAACTATGTAAAGTTCATGCAAGCGTATACATACATACATACACGTATTTATATACATATAAACATCAATGTTATTATTGTATTATTTTTTAAATGATATAAATTTTATTTTCTTATATTACAATTTTATTTCCGCTATACTACGGTATTTATTACTATTGGCCAACATTACTTAAAAACTGAAAAGGAACATATTCACTTTTCCTGAGAAAAAGTACAGTAATATTTACATTTGTTTATGCTCATTTATGAAACGTATAATTATATAAATGACAGATACAAACCCTGAAAGTACATGTACATTTAAAACTTCTTGTACAAGAGTAAATCCGTACAAAAACATCATTTCATTGAGAAATGATAATGTAATTATACAGAATGCTGTATATGCCTTGATTTCTAACATGTTCTTCTTCACACGTCGTAGAAGATCGAAGCGAGAGGATATCTTATAACAAATGCTAATAAACTACTAAAAACCTGCAATATTAATGATCTTTTAATAATATACAATTTATAAGGTTGTCAAAATTGAGCCTTACCTGAATTAATAGTAAAATCATTGTAAGAGTAGACTCCTTAAGTGGGCCAACTTTGATTAATATAAAGTTGATTAAAGTGAAGTTGTTACAAGTAACAATAGCTCTTTTATCTTCTTTCCATTTCACTAAATGTAGTTTCGTAAATATCCACATTACGATTTTACCTAAAGATTAATTTTTTAATTACAGTAAATACAAAATACATTAAAATAATTCTCTTTTCATACCAATAAAACCAATCTCATTTTTGTTGAATACAGTATTGCTAGGCTCCAACTTATCTATCTCTTTATTGTATCTGTGAACAAATGTAAAGCTGTAAAGAATCTTTCTTTTCTTTATTAATGAAGAAGCTATTGATTGAAAAACATACTTTGGTAATCTATGTCTAGGGCACGGTATAAAATGGAACAATTGTGGCACACTGTACAGAAAATTAATAATTTGTGGAATGAAAAACAACAAAGTTGTTTTGCTGAAGTGCCCAATAATGCCGACAACGGCAAACGTCATTCCTGACAAGTAACAAAAAGTGTCCCCTACGAATACTTCTGCCGGGCACCTTAAAGAAAGACAAACGTGATTTCACGTTATTGCAAATATTTTAGAATCTATACCTGTGTAAAGTCTTTAGCCTACTTCGAACATAATGATCCTTAATAAAAATGACTAATCTTATCACACTAAAATTGTAATTGATTCAATTGCTTGCAACATAGATAATTAGACAGATGAGAAATCATTTAAAATAACAATAATAATAAATAAAACGAAGCCTATCACGTGGCCCTTTTGATACCACTTTGTTCGAAACGCGTTTCGATAACATTTTATTCGAAATGTTTTTTTAGTATAATGGGTATGAGTTATGAGTCACGACGATTCGAGGTGGTCACGTCAAGTGACTCACCCTGTAGATGCTCATAATGAATGAGTTAGCGAGGTTTTCAGACGCATGCGCTTTGAGAGATGTCGCGATCGCGCTTGTCGACGGGATTCGACGAAAGAAGTTGCGTGGGAGAGCATTCGGGCGTGGTTTTTCATCTGGTCGCGCTCCCGTTGGAAGGAGTAGGTACGACAAGGTAGATTTGAGTAGAACGGCGGGACCTCTTCAAACGAGAGAATCACCGCCCTGAACTGCGAAAATTATGTCGTTCAAATCGCACCGACGTAAACCGAGGGGCAGCTCGCAGAAAAATGGCACGCCAGCCACCGACAAACAAATCTCGATTGACGCCGACTATCCACCGAAAAGTACCAACGAGGCACCTGAGGTTAGAAATACTTTTGTCATAATTATACATCTTGTTCTATTGTTTGTGCTACACACTCTTATACTAGCTGAACGTATTGTATTGCAGACACCATTAGAAAGAGCTCGGAGATTTAAGGTAGAAGGAAATCATTACTTTAAGATAGGAAAATATGATGAGGCAATTGTCCAATACAATAATGCAATTCAAACATGTCCAAATGAGAATACCGAAGATCTTGCTACATTTTACCAGAACAGGGCAGCAGCGTATGATCAACTGGTAACAATATCATCACATTTTTTAAAATTTATGATTTATGAGTAATTTACCATGAAATATTGTAATAACATTACCTGTTATTTTATTTAAATTGCTTCTATGTGTTTTCATATGTCCAAGTCTGTTACCAATTCATATGCATTACAGAAAAATACACTGCTGTAAAAGCAGATTGTGTAAAGGCCTTGGATTTGAAACCAAGATGTACGTCATATACCAAGATATATGTCACAGCTACCTGTATTTTACAACATTTTCCCAATTAAATGACATTGGACATGGCAAACAGGGTTTTAAAACAATTAGGTATGTCTATAAAAGAAAATGCAAACCTGTTGGTACAAATATTAATTGTAAGCTTTTCTTTCACAGGTAAACAACATGCTATGGAACATATGGCAAACAAAAAATATGTTATGCCTAGCAAACGGATAATACAAAATTATAGGAACTATTATCATAGTGATCCTGTTTTTACATTGCTCAAAAATAGTGACAATAATGATATATCACTGTATGTAGTTCAGTTATTAAAGAATTATTATTAGTTATCATTATTATTGCATGCATAATCTCTGTCCAATGTTTAGGGGTTTTGCAAAGATTTTGGAACATATGAAAAATGAGCAATATGATGATATAATACCACTATGTACTGAAGCACTCGAAAATAGTGAATCAGATATATTACCACACAAAACAGAAGTGTTACTTTTAAGGGCCACATTTTATCTGTTGCTATTNTTCGAGGTGGTCACGTCAAGTGACTCACCCTGTAGATGCTCATAATGAATGAGTTAGCGAGGTTTTCAGACGCATGCGCTTTGAGAGATGTCGCGATCGCGCTTGTCGACGGGATTCGACGAAAGAAGTTGCGTGGGAGAGCATTCGGGCGTGGTTTTTCAACTGCTGCGCTCCCGTTGGAAGGAGGAGGCTCGACAAGGTAGATTTGGGTAGAACGGCGGGACCTCTTGAAACGAAAGACTCGCCGCCCTGGACTCCGAAAATTATGTGGCGTTATGAGAAAACCGATTCAACGATCAGAAGAACGTCGCAGATTGGCTAAAATACATTGTACAGAGTTGTTAACGTGCGATCGGAGCCATTTAAGAATTAAATGGCACGTCGGGGAGCGGTGACGTCACGGTTTAAACGTCACGAACCAAAGGTATTCACCTCGTCGTTATCCTTCAGGCTATATTGTGAGTTTCTACACGAATTATGCGATCCTTGCATTCGCGACAGTGTTGAATACCAAAACTTTCAAATAATATGAAAAAGAATATATTTCACAGTCACGTGAATTTGTCTAATTTTCACGTTGCGAATATGGTTCCAACAATGTAAAGATTTATAATAATTCATATCTTTTGTTTCTCGTATTTGTAAAATTTCTGTAAATGTATTGTCAGGGTTATTGAAATACTTTCTTTTTTCTTTTCAGACAAGTACATCGACTACACACATGCTTCCAACTAGATTCCTTTGGTAACAGAGATTTTCGAGTCAAAAAAAAGATCTCATGGTACAGAAGATGCACAACTGACAAATTTGAACAAGGAAGGTAGTGAAATGCAGCCCCGCCTAGATGGGAAACTGGCCTTGCTTTACACATTGTTAGTCTTGCAAGTTCTTATTGTTATGATTTATGTTGCCACTACTCCGCCTTCTGAACTAACGGTGTCAACAACGCATACTTCTGTTACATTTGTGAAATTCGATGAGCCACAGGTGAGATTCAACATATTCTACTATTAGTTATAAATAGCAGTTTACTTCTGGCAGAAATTTTTTGAAGATTTATAGAATTCATTATTTATTGCATCATAATTTTGTAATTTATGTTATTTGAAGGCTGCTCTATACTAGGTCATTAAACCAATAAATAATTGTCACTAAAAAAAAATACAAATGACTTTTAAGCTTTGGAAGAACATTCTCTTAAACTTTTTAGTACATGTATGTATACGAAACTTTTACAGGAAGCTCATGTGCAACAGACCAATCATAAAAAGTTTCCAATCTATCAGACAATCAATGGGGAGGTCATGCTTCAAGATGTCAAGACTTACACTCTGTTCGATGTATACAATCATACAGTTTGTTGGAAATATGGAGTGGATAATCAGAAGATGAAAAGTAGTGAAGACTTTCAAAAATGTATTTGCACTCAAGGGTGGCATGGTTCGGATTGTGGCCAGCCAGAAGTCGTCTGGAGAGCGATTATGGCATCGAAGCAAAACGTTAAGCTAAAACACCGTAGAACAGCTAGACGTATCATTCATACGTTTTTTTTGAACAAATACAATTCGGCGGTCGCGGAGGTGATAGTAGAAGAATTATACAACGTAGTAGATCTTTTTGTAATCTGTGATTTCAGTAACGCGGAGGATAATTTTCACCATAAGCTACTCAAAGGATTATTGCAGCAGGAACAGAAGAAAATTTTATATATTAATATAGCGTCGAAGGTACACAAGCCGCTAAGGGTAGTATCCAAATACATTTGGGAGAAAATAAAGACTGTAGTACGAAATTTAAGAGACGACGATATTTATGTAACGACTGAATCAGAACAAGTACTAAACTCTAGGGCATTAATGTTCCTCAAGGTATACAACGGTTGGCCTCAACCGATCGGTTTTAGATTAAGATGGTCAGTTTACGGATTCTTCTGGCAACACCCACTTAAAACAACGATAACGGTTGGCGCGTGCACGATCGGATTGATGCGGGAAGCTTACCAATCCAATCCCATCATGCTGCAACAACTGGAAGGAGACTTGAGCGAGAGAGATAGTCTAGGCCTAGTAATAGGAGACTTGAATCATTATGGAGGATGGTATTGTTATTTGTGCCAGGCACCAGCGAACATTATAACTAGCCTGCATAACAAAGTGAAATCCAATGAGATTCAATTAGAAAAAACTATCGATGTGCCATTCATCGAGGACCTAATAGGAAGTGGATTGTGGTTAGATGGAAAAACTAATCTCCTAAGAGTCTCTAAATCACGGGACCTCTATTTTGCGCCTGAAACAATTCTTAATAATACATGGAAATATGACTGGCTAGTAGAAAATTTTTATGCTAAATTAGACTATTACTGACATACTGGTCGCACCCGACTGTGATATTAACTCATACTCAATACTCAGTGTAAACTATATGATACTGTACTGAATTTATATACTGAAGTAATATGTTGATTATGAATTATAAATATTAAATGATTTATACATATAAGTTATACAGAAATAAAAAATCTGGAATTGTCTTTTTTTAATTTAATCCTTCATATTTCAAAATTTCATGAATTTAATATTTTATAACTTGAATGATTTATGAACAATGCCAACATCGATGCATTAATTAACCTATCTTATATACAACTTACCAATTAAATTTTAGTAAACCCAACGATGTAGCTGTATATGGAAGCATGAAATACAATGAGAACTGGTGTGCTTTCCAAAGATCTCCCGACAACTCGATGATATTAAAAATGAGTATGCTTATTGAGATCACCAGGCTTTGTCCAACTTCTAAACCATTTATGCCAGCTAATATGTTTATGGCATTTGTACAGAACACTGCTAGCATTCCCATATATAAATAGTAAAGTATCCATAAGTCCACTGAGAAACCGAACCAAGATCTTAAGGGTTTGGGCACAATGATTAGTGTGGAATTAAAATTAATGTAATAGACCATTAAAAGTGGCAATGAAGCAATGGTTGGCAATAACAGTTTATGGCGCCAACGAAGGTCCAGAACGTCATCAGCAAAACCCAAAAGTAGCATACAACAAATTGAAAGTAGAGCAGCCAAAAATTCCATGAACTGTAATTGAAATTTGTGCAGGAAAATGTTTGTAAATTACTTGGTAAATATGATCATTTCCAAAGTTTTGAAAATTTTTATTTTTCCATACCTCATTATGGGGAAAGTTTACGTCACTAAATATATAATCTGTAAATGGTACAGGGATAAACAGAAATAGCGTTATAAGAAACAGACACCCACTAACAACACCCAACGCCTCCGGCCTATAAAAGAATGTTTAATGAACAAATTACCTGTGTCCATAGAAGAAAATAGTATCACATGTAAACATCATGCGTCATCAAAATTTGACTTACACTTTTTTACCGGTACTTTTGTTCATGTCAATCCCGTATAGGTTAGCTTTGATAAACATATTTTTTATCCGCGGTATTAAGCGTACAGTCAAAAAATACGCGACACAGGACATCGCGAAATTAATTAATAAAGGGAAACAAAGTTTCCAAACATCGTCACTATGCTTCATGTCAGAAAATTTTGGAAAAAACGATCCGAAAAACACAGCAGAACATATGTACAAAATAGCCGATCAACGTGGTTGACAAACAGATACAGTAAATTTTCCTCCATAACGTCGCGTATCTCGAGACCTTCTTAGCGTCGTGTTTTTATCCCCACTATCTTACAACACATTCAAATTCACGAAAATCATTAGTCACGAGAGCAGAGAGAAGATAACATTCGCTGCTCCCTAACATCTCGCTCAATTTTCTTAATTGCGCGATATTATGTAGAAAAGGTTGTCTTATCATTTATGCGTTACTTTTTGAATCAAGCATACCTAGCACGATTGTAGCGACACATACCTAATTTAATCTAAGAAAAAAAATCATCACCTGGCAGATGTATCCTTTCGCAAATCAAAATATATTACGCGCGCTAATAGTTGTGGTCACGATACAGTAGCACGAGCACGAATCAGCTCCAAAACTATTCGGTTACTAACCTGCGAAATTTTAATAGAAAATTACAGATTCTCAACGAGAAAATTCGTGTGTGTACATATTTTATTTTTTGTTGAATTCATCTGGTCATAAGTATTTGATTTTGGACAGAATTTATCCGTACCCTAATTTAAATTATTACACTGGATTACACATTTTGTGCGCATAATAGTTCCTTGAATTGCACCAGACACTAGGACGGTGAAAAGTTTTAACAGTTTTTTCTTGATTTTGTTGTTTCCATGTAATGACGTTTAAAACAATCCATTTACATATTTATTAGTTAAGTGAATGGGGATTATTCTTAATAATATGAATAAGGTAATATCACTTTGTCATTACGAAATAATTGTTAATCGTATATTTTCCAGTTTGCACTTTTCTACTTCGATATCCGCATTATAAAACTCATTTTTGCTTTAATTACATATTTGTATTTCTATGATTGTCACCAGTATATCAAAGTTTATTTGACATGTTGTATAACCTATAAGTTACAAACAAATTTCTTTTTCCTCAAATTGAAAAATATTTGATATCACAAATTTTAACGATTGAATTTTAATTGTGTTGTAATGCAGTAATCATAAGTACATTTCTGGTATTTTCATGATATATTGTATTTTTTAGTATTAGCAGACTATAGCCAGCTGTGGTATATTTTTTGTGCTGTCAATTGATTAACTGGAATTAATGGATAATGAAAAGCAAAAGGATGAGATCATTGCATTGGAAAGTATTTACAATGAAGAAGAATTTTCTCATCATGAGGAGAATGGTCATCACCAATGTAGTTTCAAGATATTCATAAATCTCTTGGATGACTACTACATAACTTATAAAGATAATAGACATATGGAAGAATCTCTGCAAAAGATTAATATATCTCATTTACCACCTTTGACGCTACACGTTATTCTACCAGAAGATTATCCTTCTATATCACCACCAATAGTTACTTTATATTCATCTTGGTTGTGTTCTGAATCATTAGCTGAATTATGTAAAAAATTAGATCAGCTCTGGGAGGAGAATAAGGGACAAGAGATTCTATTTACATGGGTAGGCTTTCTACATGATGAAAGTTTAGAATTTTTAAATATGCAAGAGCATATCGATATGAGCAATGCTTACACATACTACCAAGAGACATTAGAAAAAGCACAGAATGTTCAAAAGAATAAAGTAATAGACACCATGGAAAATGAGCACACAGTTGACAGTGCAAAGAACAAGGTGAAAGCAGAAGTTACTGTTCAATATTGGAGCAAAAAAAATTACATGCATAAGGGCTATGACAAAAGAGCTTTAAACTCTCCAATTGGAAGGAATCCTATTCAAGCATTAATCGATTATAACGACAAACGCAATCACATCGAATTTGAGAAGAATTTCTATGCTTGTAAGATATGTTTTTTGGACAAAATGGGAAAACACTGTACGAAATTTTTACCATGCGGTCACGTGTTTTGTAAAGATTGTATAACTGGCTATTTAGAAGCAAGGATTAAAGATGGAAACGTGCAAAACATTTGTTGTCCCGAAGAAAAATGTACCTCTGAAGCAACACCTGCACAAGTAATCTTTTTTCTTCATCTTTCACAAATTAAATTACTTTATGTGGTATTAAGGAAATTTTGAAATTTTTAGATTAAAGGTATGTTAAGTTCAGAGATGTTCGCAAAGTATGATTCTATGCTATTGAACAGCACATTGGATACTATGATGGACATAATATATTGTCCACGACGGAGTTGTCAGTATCCAGTTAGTCGCGAACCGGACGAGCAAATGGCAAATTGTCCAGTGTGCCGATACGCATTTTGTATTTTCTGTAAAATGGTCTATCATGGTATAGAACCATGTAAAATTTATTCAGGTATGTTCTGATCAAGATTTCAAAGACACTTATGTTTTTATTATCGTCACGTAGGTCATGACATCGTATAATGTATATTATTGTAGCACAAAAGCGTCAGTTAGTGACTGAGTATCAAGAGGCCTCCAATGAGCGTAAACTTAAAATGGAACAACGTTATGGGAAGAAGCAGCTCCAAGTATTAGTAGAGAACACAATGTCTGAGAACTGGATCCAAGGCAACAGTCAAAGATGTCCCAAATGCAATGTTCATATCGAGGTACAGTAATTTGCGCATGTTTGTCGAGTTGAAGATCATCATTTATGGTATATTTAATATATTCATATTTGTAGAAATCGCAAGGCTGCAATAAGATGTCTTGTTGGCGTTGCAACACGTACTTCTGTTGGTTGTGTAGCACCATACTTGATCGTTCATCGCCATACGAGCATTTTCGTAATTCTGATTCCAAATGCTTCAATATGTTATACCATGGAACAATAGACGACGACGACGACGAGGAGGACATAGATATAGACAATGATTTCATTCAGTTCGTTTTTGATTTATTTAGATGAAGATGAGTACGAAATAATTATATAATAATTAATAATCCGTTTTTGAATGCTACATGTATATTTATCAAAATCATTGTATAAAATATACAATTGAATTATAAAGCGTTATTTTATAAACTGCTTTCTCACAGTATAATAATCAACTGTTACACAAATCTTCTGTACCATACCAAATATTTTTGTGAAGATAAATGATAGATTAATAATTTATAGCAGGACAATAATGGAAGTTTTGAATAAAGGATTGGTATTGTTTCTATTGAAAGATAAGTGTTGCTGATAGAAATCAGATTCTTTATTGCAAAAAAAAAACTCATTATATCAAAATGCCATCTTAGTATTCTTCGGCACCTTCCCCTTCACCTTCTGCGGAGTCCATACCAACTTCCTCGTAGTCTTTCTCGAGAGCCGCAAGATCTTCTCGGGCTTCAGAGAATTCTCCTTCTTCCATACCTTCTCCGACGTACCAGTGGACAAAGGCTCGCTTGGCGTACATCAAATCGAATTTGTGGTCAAGACGGGCCCAAGCTTCGGCGATAGCAGTAGTGTTGGACAACATGCAGACGGCTCGTTGTACCTTGGCAAGATCGCCACCAGGTACTACGGTCGGAGGTTGGTAATTAATGCCAACTTTGAATCCAGTGGGGCACCAATCAACAAACTGAATGGTACGCTTAGTCTTGATGGTGGCGATAGCCGCGTTCACGTCCTTGGGCACGACATCACCTCTGTACAACATGCAGCAAGCCATGTATTTGCCGTGACGTGGGTCGCATTTAACCATCTGGTTTGCAGGCTCGAAGCAGGCGTTAGTAATCTCTGATACAGAGAGTTGCTCGTGATACGCCTTCTCCGCGGAGATGACTGGCGCATAAGTTACCAACGGGAAATGAATTCTAGGATAAGGTACCAAATTCGTCTGGAATTCCGTCAAATCCACGTTCAGAGCGCCGTCAAATCGCAGGGAAGCGGTAATAGAGGATACAATTTGGCCGATCAGTCTATTCAAGTTCGTGTAAGTGGGTCTCTCGATGTCCAAGTTACGACGGCAGATGTCGTAAATGGCTTCGTTGTCGACCATAAATGCGCAATCGGAATGTTCAAGAGTGGTATGTGTTGTGAGAATAGAATTGTATGGCTCGACAACAGCTGTGGAGACTTGAGGAGCAGGGTAGATAGCGAATTCCAGCTTGGATTTCTTGCCATAGTCTACAGAGAGACGCTCCATCAAGAGTGATGTGAATCCAGAGCCAGTACCACCACCGAAGGAGTGGAATATCAGGAATCCTTGGAGACCAGTACATTGATCAGACAATTTACGGATACGGTCCAACACGAGATCGACGATTTCTTTTCCAATCGTGTAGTGACCACGAGCGTAATTGTTGGCTGCATCTTCCTTGCCAGTGATTAACTGCTCTGGATGGAACAATTGACGGTACGTACCAGTACGTACTTCGTCTAAAAAATGAAAAATTTCATTAGAATCCGCAAATTTGACATATACGTGTTAGTATTGCACAAACTTTAAATTTCAGATTTTCTAGATATTTAAAAAAATGATTTCAGTAGTTCTGAATGATATTTACCAACTACTGTAGGTTCCAAGTCAATGAAAACTGCTCTGGGCACGTGTTTTCCTGCACCAGTCTCACTGAAGAAGGTATTGAAACTATCATCACCTCCCCCAATAGTTTTGTCAGATGGCATCTGGCCATCAGGCTGGATGCCATGTTCCAGACAATACAATTCCCAACAGGCATTACCGATCTGGACTCCAGCTTGTCCAACATGAACCGAGATACACTCACGCTGAAAAATCACAAAAAATATTAGAATACTATAAAATTTTAGATCTATCTCATGATAAATACGATGCAAAATTTTCAGCAAAATATATAAAAGATTTAATTATCACTGTATTTTTGTAACAATCTACACTTTGGAAAAGGTGATACAATATTTTTTTTTTTAAATATTTGACATTATAAATCTACAAGTTAATATAAATAAAAATTTAAACAATATATTTAACACGTTCTGTGCCATGTGTAACATCGATGGTACATGCTTACAAGTTTATTTAATGCGCTAAAAAAATAGTTTATAACAAAGTTAGGACTGAAAAATTAATTTTCATAATAATATCTAATATTTATAACAAAGAAACAAATAATAATAATTANTTAACCATCTGGTTTGCAGGCTCGAAGCAGGCGTTAGTAATCTCTGATACAGAGAGTTGCTCGTGATACGCCTTCTCCGCGGAGATGACTGGCGCATAAGTTACCAACGGGAAATGAATTCTAGGATAAGGTACCAAATTCGTCTGGAATTCCGTCAAATCCACGTTCAGAGCGCCGTCAAATCGCAGGGAAGCGGTAATAGAGGATACAATTTGGCCGATCAGTCTATTCAAGTTCGTGTAAGTGGGTCTCTCGATGTCCAAGTTACGACGGCAGATGTCGTAAATGGCTTCGTTGTCGACCATAAATGCGCAATCGGAATGTTCAAGAGTGGTATGTGTTGTGAGAATAGAATTGTATGGCTCGACAACAGCTGTGGAGACTTGAGGAGCAGGGTAGATAGCGAATTCCAGCTTGGATTTCTTGCCATAGTCTACAGAGAGACGCTCCATCAAGAGTGATGTGAATCCAGAGCCAGTACCACCACCGAAGGAGTGGAATATCAGGAATCCTTGGAGACCAGTACATTGATCAGACAATTTACGGATACGGTCCAACACGAGATCGACGATTTCTTTTCCAATCGTGTAGTGACCACGAGCGTAATTGTTGGCTGCATCTTCCTTGCCAGTGATTAACTGCTCTGGATGGAACAATTGACGGTACGTACCAGTACGTACTTCGTCTAAAAAATGAAAAATTTCATTAGAATCCGCAAATTTGATATATACGTGTTAGTATTGCACAAACTTTAAATTTCAGATTTTCTAGATATTTAAAAAATTGATTTCAGTAGTTCTGAATGATATTTACCAACTACTGTAGGTTCCAAGTCAATGAAAACTGCTCTGGGCACGTGTTTTCCTGCACCAGTCTCACTGAAGAAGGTATTGAAACTATCATCACCTCCCCCAATAGTTTTGTCAGATGGCATCTGGCCATCAGGCTGGATGCCATGTTCCAGACAATACAATTCCCAACAGGCATTACCGATCTGGACTCCAGCTTGTCCAACATGAACCGAGATACACTCACGCTGAAAAATCACAAAAAATATTAGAATACTATAAAATTTTAGATCTATCTCATGATAAATACGATGCAAAATTTTCAGCAAAATATATAAAAGATTTAATTATCACTGTATTTTTGTAACAATCTACACTTTGGAAAAGGTGATACAATATTTTTTTTTTTAAATATTTGACATTATAAATCTACAAGTTAATATAAATAAAAATTTAAACAATATATTTAACACGTTCTGTGCCATGTGTAACATCGATGGTACATGCTTACAAGTTTATTTAATGCGCTAAAAAAATAGTTTATAACAAAGTTAGGACTGAAAAATTAATTTTCATAATAATATCTAATATTTATAACAAAGAAACAAATAATAATAATTACATATAATATATAAAGTTTTAGTAAAATTTCAAATGGACAGAATGAAGAGTTGAGTAAAAACAGTTTGGTATAAAATGTGTTAATATTGTTCGAAATCGTAATATTAAAAGATAAAAAAGGAAAATAATAGCGCAGAGTAGTTATTACGGAACTTGAAGCGGAAAGCCGGCCGGTGTTTGACCGTTATACAAGATGGCTACCCACCCTTGGCAACAGGGCAACGCCTATTCAAAAATTACTTAAAATATCGATGTTTAAAATATGAGAGAAAAGAGCTCACCATTTTGTAACAGGTAAAGATTCAAAATTCTGCAAAAACGGAGTAAAAACAGTCGTCAGACTTCGATAGTTAGCTAAAGCAAGCAATGGAACTTCCGCTAACACCTTTGTCCAGAATCCTATGAACGAATGTAACGCCGGTCGCTGGAACGGCTATTTATACCCTCGGTGAGCGGCTTCGTCAGCGTGCTCTGATTGGTCGTCGATGACCTCATTCTCTTCTCTCATTGGCGTTCCTTCGACCGCAGTACCCACGAACGCCAGAACACACGAACCTTTTACGGAAAATATAGTCCCAGTAATAACGATATAATCAATTGTTTCATTGACTTTCGCGGCAACATATTCATTCATTAGCTCGGAAGAAGCTAATGAACAAACTTAATAAACGTTTCATTGTGCCAGCTTGACACAGAACAAGGAGAAATCGGCTAGTTTTATGGATGAAAATGCAACAGTATGGGCGACGGTTTCTTCCATATTTGGATCGTGCATTTTGATTGGTGACTCATGTAATTCGTGTCTCCGTTCCATAACGGTTGATACGTTACATTACAGCAACGTTTTACTTACAACAATCCCTGAAATCATGCTGTCTTTGGACGTAGAGATCGCGGTACTAAAAGATGCAGCTCTTCTTTTGTTATTCCCTTCATCTCGGCTAACGGTTTGCTACTGAATTCTCATGCTATATATAAATTTTATGCATCTGTCTCTGTGTGGTTATATATAGACATTATAGGCATTTGAATATTCGGTTAAAATAGATGTTTAGACCAGCTCATGGAGCTGAAATTGTAACAACCAAGAGAGCAGGTTGCTTCAAATTATATTCATGCAGTTGTACGAATGCATCTCATAGTTAACGTTCCGTTATTATTACAATTTTTACGAACATACATTTAAACTGATTTATAAATATTGAACAAGCGTTATATTTCTCGATTTAAAGAAATTTATTGAAAACATTATGCTAGAATATATTATTTAATTTTTTCAATTATTTTTCATTATTTTCATTACATATTTTTAGTTGTTTAATATTACAGATTAGTTAACAATGATATATGAATAATACACAGAATTTGTAGAATGTCAGTTCAATGCTCTCATGGGGTTTGTAATATTTGGTTGATATACATATACCCATCTTAGGTATTGATTTTGTCTCTACATACACCTAACGGGTGTCGTAGGAGTTCGTCGCCACAATAAAAGTTGAAATGTAATTATTGCACAAGCTTTGTCATATCAGACGTAATTTTATTCAGGCCCCTAATCTTATCGATTAAAAAATGCAGCAATCAGTTTCTCAATAATGAACATTTGGATAAAAAATAAAGAATACGTGTTAAGGTACCAAACGGGACATAATATTTAGATGAGGAATATTTTCAAGAGCGATGCATTATCTTTTTACTAGATTCATTATACAATGAATTGAAGTTGATCTACTTCCTGCCCACGAGCACAAACCGTATCCGCTCTCTACTCCTGATTCTGCGATCTCACCTTACCACGGTTTCTGACCTCTTTACAGTATTTCATCTCTCTTACAGTTTCGCACAGATTTCCAAATATAACGCAATGCGACCAAAGCAACGCATACTGCTTTAACGAGACAAGCACAGGCATATCGTAGGCGAAAAATAAAATTGTTAATATATGAAAGATTTTTCAACGAAATTGTTATGAAATTATTATGAACATGAAATAATATATAAAACGACAATTGTGTGTTTATTCCGATTTTGTTGCTGATACAAATTTTAATTCTGTACTTTAGCAAGGTCAATAGTTAGCATATTCTATAAACTAAAGAGATCAGTTTGCTATGGTGGACGCCGACAGCTGGTCAATTGACAGCGCCATTCTGTACACACCCATCTCAAAGATATGTACATGCATTTCACACATTACCGGTCAACCGAAGAAGTTCGTTTCTTGTGTACCAGTAGATTGCATAACTGCGTCGGGAAATAAAATGCAACACAAAATATGCACAGTTTAATTATTCGGCAGATAAAAAAATAAATGTCCATAATACAATATTAAAACAATTGGAAAACCTACAAACCAGAAATGTATGTTTTGTATTGGATAGTAACGTTTGCCTAAATAATGGCAGCGCAAAAGGATTGTTTGATCATAAGATATATGTATTATTTCAATGATCATTTGTTTGAAAAATAAGTGTGCCACTAATAAATTGTATATTATTAATTTATACTACAGAAGTAAAGATGTTTCATTACACTTCGTTAGATTCAAGAATGTGGTTAATATTTAATATAATAGATTCAACATATATTATAACAAGAATTGGGAGAAGATTAATTAACTAATCTTTACGCTCTGATAATTCATCCTTCTTCTGTTTAATTAGCTGTGAATTTCTCCATTTTTTCATGTTTGTGGTGCCATCTAGAGCAATATTTTAACATACGTATTTACAACCATAAATAATGTATAAGAGTAGAACGGAAACCTAATGAGCTTTCGAGTCACACAATCTGTATACCGCCGTTATCAAAGATTAGTACAGTTACGCCGCCTATATTCCAGAATGAAAAATGTTTGAACTAATTTTGGAAGGTTACCGATCATTCGTGATTTTAGGGAAACTTGTTATACTGAATCAAGTATTCTATATATTTAATTTCCACTGAGGACGCTTAATTCAAACGTCGCATACAGTGTTACACTTTACAAACAGTTTCTATGTCACAGACAGTTTTAAAATGTTCTAATTGCTATGAAAGATAGTAACAAATTTTATGTATGCAGTCATTATCTCGATATTCTCCTCAATTTATAAACTATTAGAATTTCCAATGTCTTATGAATTGAGGATAATTATGAAACAAAAAATGACAATACAAATACTCAATTAAGTGATACGCTGACTATAGTAGCGATGTAAACATGCATTGGCCTTCGTACAGAATGGGAATATGTAATCCCACTCATTTTCATTCTACAGCTATCTATCACTGGTCCAATGCTAACTCCGTTGGGTACCTTATTCGTACTCGACTCTATCGCCTGCAATTTAAATTGCAGTAGTCCTTTGTGGGACGAATCCCGTCTAAAAGTGATGGATAGTACAAAATATGTGAAAAGATACAGAAAAATAGTTTACAATTGTCCCATTTGCATCGCAAGCAAGAACTTAACATGATGACCTTGGCATAAATTTTGTTTAGTACAGTATCATGTGAAGTTGCATTCAATACACTGACAAACTGTTTTTCACCTTTTCTTTTGTTACAAACATGATTTCCAAATAAATTTACTTTTTAAATGGATTAAACAATGGTAGAGGTCTGATTAAAATTGTGGAGGTTTGTATATATAAACTAATTGATTCGAACATTTAAACTCACCCTTATCATTTTATTTAACATTCAATATTTTCAGTTGAAATATTTTGTTGTGAAATTATTGATTTAAGAAATAAATTATTTCTGTTCTGCATAATTATGTTCGCTCTTAGATTGATTTTCGTTGCAAAGCAACAATAAAACATCGGATTAATATCTACAAGCTGGCGAAGATGTCATTAACACAATTCGGTAACCGAATCAATATTCAAATTGTCGGTAAAATAGAAAATTTGATTATTTACATCGCAGGCGATGCGCGCGCGTCGGTCACCGCGTCGGTAAAGCAGACCGGCGCATGCGGTGGTAGGTACTACCCTCTTTCGTCAGGTAAGCAAACGGTGGGGGTTGCACGATCGAGTTTCGTGCGAGGTCGTACGATCAGCTGTGCGCGCTCGAAGCTGTGTGCCATTCCCGTGTGCGCAGTGTCGGACGTTCGTGGAAGTTTCTCCTCGTAGATCGACCGTGAAAGAGGCACGGTGTTTGCCCGCCGTAGAGACTCGAGGAACGGAAACGGGATCGTGTACGCGCGCGAAAGTACGCGGTGGCGGTGACAAATCGGCAGTATTTTCGGGTGGAAGAGGGGGGGGCGGGCAAGTGAGGCATGACGGGAACAGGTGACAATAGAGCTTCGCCATGTTAGATTTCACGAGATCGCGAAACGTGCGCCGCCGCTGCTGCTGGTGCTAGTGTGAGGAGAGAGAGAAAATTTTATTTTGTTTTCTCGACTCTCGTGCTACTTTCCTCGGCGGTGATCCAACTGAAAATCATCCAAGCTGGATAGGTTACCCGAGTATCTCCGCGATACCGTGGACTGGTTTATGGGGTAAGTTTTTTTTTTCGTCGTCGTCGTCGTCGTCGTCGTCGTTGTGGTCGTTCGCGAAACCAGACATTATCCACGCGCGATTTTCCATGGAACGCGAAATCCGCGGGCGTACAGTGTGCTCGTGCGTGTGAGTGTGGAATCGTACGTCCGTGTAGGGGAGGGGAGAGGAAAGAAAAAAAGGAAAGAGGTTAACCTCTCTCATGGTTTTCTCGAACAGAGCCTAACCTCCCCGCGGAGAGGTTGACGCTCTCTCCGAATCGTCGTACCTCCGTCTCCTCGGTCCCGACGGCTCTTTCGTCTTCTACCATTTTCTGAGAGAAACCAATCGCCGCCGGTGGTTATCTCGTGCACCGTGGTAATCGTACCGTTGTTTGCCGCGTGGTTGTCATCCCGAATTTTCATACGCTACTGTCACGAAATAACGCGTGTATATAGAACATCGCGCTACCCGAAATCGCTTTCGTCGATTCGACGGAAAACAATGACAGCGTCGATTCGCGCGTCGCCGATAAGGTTCAAAGATTTCAGAATGAGTCAGCCAAAGATGTCGACGTTTTCGCCAGCGAGAATACCGTTTTCTTTTCCTCTCTTGTTTTCGTCAAACGTTTCGGAACGAACAAAATTTCGCTCGATCGAATTATTCCCGGTTTCGTCCCCATTCTTTTCTCGGCCGATTCGACCGATACACGAGTACACCATGGAGCACTTACGTAAACGAGCAACACGTTGTCCATCTATGAAACCGACTTTGGCGAAACGAATTGTGAGTTCTATCTTTTTTTTTTCTTCTGTAGTCGTAATACGTATACGGTGGCCTGTTACCGGTGGTGGACTTCAGAGCGGGGAGACACTTCGTTCGACTGTGGTGCACGGTATCGATGAACAGTGGAAACGGTCAGTCATGAACAGACTTGTGATATTCCGTGCAAATAGCGCGGTTATCGAATCTAGTTTTCGGGACAATTGTCTCGGAAACGGAGCTACGTGTACGAAAATACTATCGCGTGTTCTTTCGATTTATTTCCTCGTGTCGAGTCAACCCCATTCTCGATTGCACCATCGGTTATAGGTCATCCGGTATGCGTACAGTCGAAGATGCCTACAGTGCATATTTAAATGCGAAGTCGACCCTTCGTAACTGGTTTAACTTGACGAAAACATCGTAACGTTCGGTCCCGCTGTTCTGTGCAATTTTATTATTCTTTATTCGATTCACATCTTCAAATTCGAGGTTGAGGAGACCAGCAGAGTTAACGTTGCCGCATCGATATTATTTCGAATCGCTCGAATGGAAAGTGAAATTCAGCGAGGTAACGGCGTTTTTTACGTTGCGTTATCGTGACCTCTGTCGATGACACACGTGTGATGCGTGCAGTTCGTCAGGACGTATACCTGGGAAAACGTTTTGCCAGCGTTCAATAATCGGTTACAATATACATGTAGAGAGTAGTTAGACCGATGGAACGAGATATGTATAGAGTGTGTTGACGTTGTTCGATTTTAGGTTTTCGTTGTTGATAGTACCTAGAATTTGGTATATTAACCCCTTAATGCACAGTCTTTTTGAAAAAGGCCGGCCAAAAAGAATCAATTTTTTTTAATGTAAAAAACACACAATTTAGAACGTTGTCTTGGCAAAAACATTAAAAGAATACAAAAATAATCAAAATTTTAATTTTAATTTTGGATTTTGATCCACATTGCAGAAAAGAGCGGAATATTGCAATGTTACACGTACATCGACTTTTTTTATCTTTCTTTTCGAATTGCTGTTTCGGAAAAAAACATATTTTTATCGGTAAAAGTAGATAAGCAATATCCAACCAAATCCACATCCTCAAAGGTTTCCATTCGTTACCGGCCCTGATTCAACTTTTCTTTTGGTGGAGAATTTTGATATACTGCGCTTTTTTGTCCCATGGAAAAAGGCTATATTTTATTCTTGAATAAATAAGTGTTATAGCTTACAATCCCATGTAAATGATAAATATCAATAAAACGATTTTTTTTCTTTGCTTTCACATTGTTATTTTCAATTCTCGATTATATTCGAGTGTGAGAAATTATAGCAGCATAAAATACAACGCCGCTCGAACTATCTCGAGTGTGCACAGTTTGGACAGTTTAGCGCGCTCGAGTTAACTCGAGCTAGGGATTAATAATAACAATTATTAAGGGGTTAATAAAATATAGTAATGTGTAGCTGGGTAACACGGAGGTCGCGTAAGCTCTGTCCGTTTCCCTCCATTTTTTCTTTTTTTAATTGTACCAGCGATATACGATTACCTATTTACGGTACGCCTATCACGTACGGGAACCGTGTGGTTTCCGGTACACGTTGATCCCTTGAAATAAAGTACCGCGCGGTAAAGTGCAGCACGTTTATGGTATTAGAGTGACCACGTGACCATTACAATCTTTGTACCAACTATCGTGCGTTTTGTTTTTAACAATGAACACCACCGGATCGATCAAAATAACCGATTGTCGCGTTTCTCGTTTCGCAATTCGCCGAAATAAAAACGTTCGTTCTTTCGACATTTTCTTCTCCCGTTCGTAATTTTCCGTTTTGCCGAATCTGTGATTTTGGTAACTCCGAGTGGTTCTAGTGATAATCGCGGGGTTCGAACGGTATAGAGACTCGGGCACCGAATCGGAATCTGCTTTACCGAAAGGAACCAGCGAATTGATCAGTGTTTATCGCCAACTTGGTGGGATTTGCCCGCTCGTGTCTTTATACTTTTCGTTTCTCCGCCGGCTGCGAGCAACGTTTCGGTAGGATATTCCGCCGAGCAAGCGCGGTGAAACGCGGGGAAAAATGGTAATATATCGTAGATTAAAATGGCCGAGCATGAATTTTTCCGCGATATCTATCGGCGGCGATAAAATTATCGCGTTTCACCTCGCTTATTGCGTTCTGCGCAATACGGCCGGCCCTTAAACCCGGCGCCGCGTCGATAAATTGTAAGTTACTTTCGTTTACTTGCGAGCGACGCGAAAATTCATCGTGCACGACGTGCTTGTGGTCGGCAGTCGGCAAAACGATTTATCGGTTCGCAGGGAAATTCACCGTTTCGTTGATGTTCGAATAAATTTGTTCACCGACAAACGTCTGAATAAAGATTTATTCAAATACACTTTTATATGTATATACTTGTCCTGCTAGAGCGCGCTGCGCCGAG